CGTGATGACACCCACAGTGAACTGGAAAGCTGCACATGTGTAACTCTGCTTGGGGCTCTTGCCTCATCTTCCGGAAGGGACTTGCCCAGCATCTGGACGGTTCCTGGTCCTTATCTTCTATGAAGTGGCATTTTTGAAACATAGGGGCAGTGTTTTCTAGAAGTTCCCAGAGTCAAAAAGACTGTCAGCTCTGCTGCCCTCTTGCCTGGCTCCCGTGGAGGCTCTTGTCTTCGTGAAGTCCAGGCTGATCTGCTTTCCCTGTCTAGACCTCACTCACTCTCGCATTGTGTTTCCAGTCTTAAGGCTTCCTCCACTGTTTCCTTTTTAAGACGTTTTTTGTTAGAAATAATTTCAGTCATTCAGGAAAATTGCAAGATCGGTGTAGTGTCTCCTGACTACCCTTCACCCAGAGCCACTGCGTGACATGTTGCCAAGTGCCCCGGGCATACATCCATCCTGAACCATTCAAAAGCAGTTGAGACTCCATGCCACCTCATCCTTACTCATCCTGAGCAGGGGTACTTCTGGAACCATAATACAGTGCCTGCAGTCAGGACATGTAGCACAGATGCAATTGTGTCACCTGCTGCACACACGGGAGCCACAGTTAATTTCCTTCACAGTACACAGTGCATTGCACTCTGTTGTCATGTCTCTTTGTTTTATCTGGACAGTTCCTGAGTCGTTTATTAGTGGTAACTTTGAAAAGTAGAAGCACCTGTTTTCTAAAAGGCCTCTTGGTTTGGGTTTGTCGGATGTTTCCTTGTGACTGGGCTTAGGTGTGCCCTGAGACAGGAGCACCACAGGTGGAGTTGTAGGACAGTGTGTCCATCAAGGGGTGTGTGGGGTCACTTTGCCCCAGACTTGGTCACATGGACATGGTTAAGGGGATGTCCACTGGTTCTCTCCACTGTGAAGTTACTCTTTTTCCCTTTGTAATTAAGAAGTATCTCCTGGCAAGATACTCTGAGGTTATGTAAATATCTTGTTTCTTATCAAACTTTCACCCAATGGCTTCCGGAGCCATTGATGAATTGTACCTGAATCATCATGATGGTAGTAGTGACATTTTTAGCTCCTGTTATTCTTTTTTGTGTTCACTAGTTGGCATTCTGGTATAAAGAAGAGCTTTTTCACTGGGCATGGTGGCTCATGCTTGTAATTCCAGCAATTTGGGGGGCCAAAACCAGAGGACTGCCTGAGTCCATGGGTTCATGATCAGCCTGGGCAACTTGGCTCTACAGTAAATAAAAAAATTGGCTGTTTGGTAGTGCGGGCCTGTGGTTCCAGCTACTTGGAAGGCTGAGGTGGAAAGATGGCCTGAGCTCAGCAGATTGAGGCTGCAGTGGCTGTGGGCATACCACTGTACTCCAGCCTGGGTGACAGGGTGAGACTCCAACTCAAAAAAGAAAGTAAGAAGAAGAGCTTTTTCTTTCCTGCCTACATATTATCTGCTCATTGATGTAATACTAGTTTGGGGGCTCGTGCTGTCATTATCATATTCACAGTGTTGTCCTGTCTGTCTGTGTTCTTATGATGTCTGCCATTCTTTGATCACCTCCTTTCTTGAGTACTGCATGATATTCTGAGCTCAGCTTGCACTCTTCTTGCCCCAACCCTGTCGTGACCTTCCGAGAGCCTCCATTCTCTTAGCAGGAAATGTTGTCTGGGGCCACGAGTCGCTTGGTGTGCTTGTTGCTGCCGAGGCTCACTGCTCCTGGGTCCTGCCATGGTCAGTGTTCAGCCGTACACGTTGCTGCTGGCTGGCAGTTCCCCTCCGCCACTTCATGCTCCCCCTTCTGAAGCCCAAGTCCCTGTCCTTCCTTCTTGCAAAAGAGGAGACTTGGGCCACCCAGCACAGGAGGCCCTTTGCTGTCAAGGTTCGCCTTTCTCCGTTCTGAGCTGGAGAGCCATCAGGGCCTGAGGTCTCTGCCAGCAGCTCTGTCTGGTTCTGCTATCATGAGTACAGGTGTGGAACACGCTTGAGTAGTGACAAGGACTGGGGGATGAGCCCTGTTACTGGTGTGGGCTGTGTATTTCATTGTTAACCTTTTCCTGGCTTGGTTTCTAGCCGTGTCAGGGACTCAGAACATTTTGGTCATTGACCTTTTGCAAAGGAGATGAGAACCACGTTCCCATTTGCTGGATAAAATGCAGGCTCTGTCCATTTGCATTTCAGGGTCGGGGCGTTTTTGTTCTTGTGCACTAGTCCTGTGTGGGCTCAGTCACCTGTCCTTCCAGACCAGTCCCCTGGCCTGGCCCTGACTCCCTGAGGAGTCAAGAAGCTATAGGTTGGGCATTACTTGACTGACTCAGTGGATGCAGACTGTGCATCTGGCATATTCCAGAGAATTCCATGCAGGGTATGTCCTGTGTGGAAGTCAGTTGTGGAGTCCAGATTGAGGCTTACAGGGGTCCAGCAGGTCCCTCCCTTCTCAGTCCTCTTGGGAGACCACACGTTCTTCCTTTTACACACCAACCACTGTGAATGTGCTGGGGGCATGCCAGGGAACAGGACTAGTGCCTCTTTGTGTGAGATCCAGCTGGTGGGGCCAGCAGGCATGGTGTGTCTGGCAGTGGCCCTGATGGCAGCAAGGTGGGGTGGCAGCAAGGACTGGCGGATGGTGGGAGCTGTGTCTGCCTTGACTATGTTTGTAGATGTCACAGCACTTGGCTCTCCGATTTTAATCTGTTTGCTTCTATTTCTTCTCCTCCAACTAGGAAAGAGGGTCTGTGGAAAGGACTACAGAGATTTTTGGCCATGAAGGTCTCTGTCGCGTGTTGTCCTTCATTATTGTTGCTCACCTGGCCCTGACCTTGAAGTTGAGTTTGATGGGGGTGAGGATGTGGCCTGTGTGTCCACTGAGGTTCTCCATGGGCCTGGGACAGGACAGGTGCTCAGTGGTCAACCTTCACTCCAAGTGACCTCTTCAACTCCTAGAAGAGGGACTATGTGTGGTCTAGCCAGGAGCAGATGTCCATTCCATCCAGTTCCCATCAGCTTCAATCTGGAGGGCAGGATCGGTGGTGTCAATCAGACCTCAGTGCTGAGAGTGTGTTTCTGTGCGTGGACCTCAGAAAACCAAGTCCTTTCAGGTTCTCTGAGAGGGACTCAGGGACTCGTGTGGTCCTCAACTTACACTTTGGAAATCACTAGTGGGTCTACACAGGAACTCTAGGGAGAATAGGAGGATGATAGCCTAGAATTGACTGGAGAATTCTGAGCTGTGCTTGTCTGTCTGGCCTGTATACACGGGGTGCATTGAAGTCTCAGCTCTGCTCAGGAAGGTTGATGGGAGTGTTCTGGTAAGCACTGAGGATGTCAAATGTCGGATGTTTGTTTTTAGCAGGACTGAAAAAGGAGGGATGTTGTGGGGTGGGAAGCTTTTTGGATTGGTGACTGAGAGTGATATGGTCGGGCATAGTCTACTCCTAGGAGCCAGACTTTGAAATAAAATTAACAGTGAGTTCAAAGTTACATGGGAATGTTCTGTGAGAATTTTCTGGTGTCTTTGGAGAAAAGATTTCAGAAGTTATGTGATATGTTACAGGTGTTACGCTCTTAGATCTGGGAGCTTGGTGTCTCTTGAGCGCCTAGTGAGAAGCCTGAAGTGGCATGCATACTCTCTCAGATGTGGTCCCCAGATGGGGACGGGCATTTTTTTTTTTGTTTGTTTGTTTTTTGAGTTGGAGTCTCACTGTCGCCCAGACTGGAGTGCAGTGGCCACTCCTGGCCACCGCAGCCTCGACCTGCTGGGCTCCGGCGATCCTTCCGCCTCAGCCTTCCGAGTAGCTGGAATTACAGGCGTGCGCTACCACGCCCAGCTGATTTTTTGATTTATTGTAGAGATGAGGTCTCGCCTGCCCAGGCGGGTCTCGAACCCGCGGGCTCAGGCAATCCACTCACCTCAGCCTCCCAAAGTGCTGGGATTATAGGCTGAGCCACTGAGCCCGGCTCTGATTTCAATTTCTGATTGAATTTTGTTGATGTATCCTTTTCTGTAACTGTTTTTGTAGGTTGTTGGACATTTGAATTAAAATATTTACATGAATTATTGTCAGCAACAGGATGCTTTTTTTCCCCTCCTTGAATCGGAGTCTCGTTCTGTTGCCCAGGCTGGAGTGCGGTGGCACCTTCATGGCTCACTTCAGCCTTGACCTCCTGGGCTCAGGCAGTCCTTCTGCCTCAGCCTTCCAAGTTGCTGGGACTGCAGGCATGTGCTAGCACACCTGGCTAGTTTTTATTTTTATTTTTTGAGTTGGAGCCTCACTCTGTCTTCCAGACTGGAGTGTAGTGGCCTTTCCCGGCCACCGCAGCCTCGACCTGCTGAGCTCCAGCGATCCTTCCGCCTCAGCCTTCCAAGTAGCTGGAACTACAGGTGCGCACTACCACGCCCGGCTAATTTTTTTGATTTTTTTTTTATTGTAGAGATGAGGTTTCACCAAGTTGCCTAGGCAGGTCTCAAACCCGCAGGCTCAGGCAATCCACTCACCTCGGACTCCCAAAGCACGGGATTACAGGCTGAGCCACCGAGCCTGGCTTAATTTTTAAATATTTTGGAGACGAGGCTGGCCTCGAAACTCCTGGGATCAAGTAGTCCTCCCACCTCAACCTCCCAAGGTGCTGGGATTATGGGCATGGGCCACCATGCCCAGCCAACAGGATGCATTTTGAAATAATGAAAGCATTTCTGTTACAGAACCTCAACACTTCAGATATCTGATTATATAAGTAATACATGAATGCATCCTTCCTGTTAAAAAACTTTCTTCAAGAATACAGATCAAGTAGATGCTTTCTTGGACTGCTTTCTGAATGCCAGTACTCCTCCTGGAGAGGCTGCATAAGCTGCTGGCATGAAGAACCCCACACTGTCTGGTCAGCTCATAGAGAATTTGCAGCTGTGGTCCATGAATCCTCCCAAGGACAGCGCTGTTGGCATGCTGTGGGGCCTGCCTCTGACGGGCCCAGATTGATTGCTGTTGTTTCTGTTTAGCAGGCAGTTCCGGCCAAGGGGGAGCCCAAGCAGGATTGCTGTGTGAAGACCGAGCTGCTGAGAGAAGGTAAGGGCAGTGTTTGCTGGTGGCAAGAGCTGGCTTTGCTCCGTACTGGAGGGCCTGTGGCTCTTTCTGCCCTCCTGTGCCCCAGCCTCTCACTGTCTTTGCTTTACCCAGGTTTGCGGTCTAGTTTCTAATCTCCCCCATTTCTAAATAGACACAGTCACACAGGCACACACAAAAGATCTGCTGGAGAAGGAACAAATTTTCCAAGTATGAAAAGCAAAACCCTGCAAGTCCTTGTCCTAAAGCTCACCCAGAAAATTCAAGGTGAGTGATCACACACGTTGATAGTGGTGTTTTGTTCATGTCACTGAAAACTGGAAACCACGCAAGTGGTCTCACCGGGTAACAAGGTATGGATAGACAGACCATGGGGCACTACACAGTGAGGCGGTGGGTCAGCGACGCAGCGCCACAAACTGCATGATTCTTGCAGTGGTATGGATGATGCTAATGTACTTTGCTACTAAGTGAAGGAAGCCAGACCCAAAAGGCCACAGACCATGTGACACCACCTATACAGCAGAGGTTTGGAGAACACAAAAGGGTGGCATTTGGGGTGTGAGCTGCTCTGTAAGGCATGCTGGTGCTTAGGTCTCGAAGGTCAAGTCCTGCCTGTAGAACTGGGCACCACTAGAGTGTCCCCCAGGAGGCAAGGGCGCCCAGGCAACTAGAGACCGGTGTCCTGTAAGCTTAGGGCTGCTTTGCTGTATTTGTATTTTACATCAATAGCCATCCAGTCCTGGGACTAAGATGTTGACCACTTGGGACTCCACTGGACACCCGTGTGATTGCTAGGGTCTCCTTTTCAACTGCTCAGACTTCTTTTGTTTGACTCACATGTAGGACTTCTCCTGAATAAGGTGTATTTCCCCATTTATTTAGTTTTTTTAATTAACTTCTCTCAACCTTACGTTGTATTTTCCAGTGTACAGGTCTTGTACCTCTTCTTATTTCGTATTTTCTTATGCTTTTGTAAATGTTGTGTTTAACGTTTTGCTTACTAATTGTTTATTGCTAATAAATATAGACTTGGAATTTATATTTTGTAATTAAACTTTATTTTGAAACAGTTGTAGATTCACAATTTTAAGAACGGATGTTGCCGGGCTCGGTGGCTCAGCCTGTAATCCCGCGCCTTTGGGAGGCTGAGGTGAGTGGATTGCCTGAGTCCGCGGGTTTGAGACCCACCTGGGCAACTTGGCGAGACCTCATCTCTACAATAAATCAAAAACTAGCCGGGCATGGTAGCGTGTGCCTGTAGTTCCAGCTACTTGGAAGGCTGAGACGGAAGGATCGCCGGAGCCCAGCAGGTCGAGGCTGCGGTTACCGGGAGCGGCCACTGCACTCCAGTCTGGGCGACAGAGTGAGACTCCAACTCAAAAAAAAATTAAAAGAACGGATGCTGAGGTCTCACGTGCCCTTTACCCTGTTCCACGGGGCGTTGCATCTTGCAATACTGTTAGTACAGAATCGTAGCCAAGAGAGTGATGTTAGCACAGCCCACCAGTCTTGCCCACAGCCCTCCAGGTGTGCATGTGCTCGCTTGGGTGTGTGCATTTACTTCTAGGTACTTTTCTTATGTGTGTAGGTTGGTGTATCCACACCATAGTCCAGGTCCAGGACCGTCCCCCTCACCATGGGCCTTCTTTGGCTTGCCGTGTGACAACTCTACCGCCCCCATCCCTCTTCCTTTTCTTTTCTGGCAGCCACTGATCTGTTCTTTCTATAGTTTTTTCAATGTAAGTGATCTCATATACTAGGCAACCTTTCGGGATTGGCTTTTCTTCACTTGGCATAATTCCCTGGGGATTCATTGAAATTGCTTCATGGATCAATAGTTTTTTTATTCCTGAGTAGTGTTTCATGGTATGAATGTACTACAGTTGGTTTAATTGTTGGAAGACACGTGTATCGTTCCTTTTTCTTGTCTGTTACAGCAAAGCTGGTATGAACATTTATATTCACATTTTTATTTGGATGTAAGTTTTCATGTCCCTGAAATAAATGCCCACGAATGCAATTGCTGTTGTCTGGTAAGTGTATGTTTAATTTTATAAGAAACTGCCAGAATATTTTCCAAAATAACTCTACTGTTTGACATTCCCAGCAACAATGTACATGGGTTTCAGTTTTGCCATATCCCATTTGTCCATCTTTTTATTTATAGCCATTGTAAGGATATGAAATAGTTTTTCATTGTGGGCTAGATTTGCTATTGTTTGGCTTTGAGAATTCCTTATATATTCTAGATGCCTGTCCTTTGTCAACTATGTGATTAGAAAATATTTTCTCCCAGTCTCTAGCTATCTTTTCATTCTTTTCACACTGACTTTGTAAAAGTTTTTAATTTTGATAAAATCTAGTTTGCCAGATTTTCTTCTTGTGGATTATACTTGTGGTGTCAAGGCTAAGATTGTCTAGCTTTAGGTCTCGATAATTTTTTCTAAAAGCTTTATAATGTACATTTGCATTTCTTTTCACTTTTGAGTTAATTTTTATATAAGGTATGAGGTTTGGGTCGAGGTTTGTTTTTATAATAAGTCTTAGATTCTGTGACCTTTCTAAACTCAGTCATTGGTTCTTCAGTTGAGCCTTTGTTCACGTTTCTTTGGGTGTTCTACATTCAGGATCTTGTCAACTATCAGCAAGTCTGCTGCTGCTTTCTTGCACAAATGCCTTTTTTCGTGCTTGATTGCCTTGACCAGAGTCGTCCGAAAGACGCTGCATGGAAGCAGTGAGAGTGGACACCCTGCCCTTGTTCCTGTGCGAGGGAGGAAGTGTCCACCTGTCGTCAGGAAGTGTGATGTTAGCTGTGGGTCTTGCATGGATGCCCTTCGTCAGGCTGAGGACCTTCTCCTCGCTTCCTTGTTCGCTTCGAGTTTCATCCAAAATTAATGTTGTCAGATGCTTTTCTGAATCTCTTGAAGTGATCACTTTTGTTGTTTTAATATGTCCTCTTGGTACGTTATTTCAGTTGGTTTATTTTTGTAGAGTTAGGATCTTTCCCTTTCTTTTCTTTGTTTCTTTGTTTCTTTTTTTTTTTTTTTGATCAGAGTCTCACTCTGTCTCCTAGAGTGCAGTGGCATGCTCACAGCTACGCCTTGACCTGCTGAATTTGGGCGATCCTTCCACCTCAGCCTTCCAAGTAGCTGGGACTGCAAGCGCACACCACCACACATGACTAGTTTTTTGATTTATTGTGGAGACCAAGTCTCACCATGTTGCCCAGGCTGGTCTCGAACATCTGAGCTCAGGCTGTCCTCTCACTTCCACCTCCCAAAGTGTTGGGATTATGGGCATGAACCCCCGTGCCTTGCCTGAGACGAGTCTTTCTTATGTGGCCCAGGCTGGTATGAACTCTTGTCCTCAAGCGGTCCTCCTGCCTTAGCCTTCCAAAGTGCTGGTATTACAGGCATGATCCACTGCATGTGGCCTTGACTGATTTATTTGAATGTTACACCAACCCTGCCTTCCTGGGAAAAGCCTCACATGCACTGGATATATTATCTTTTAAAATATACTTAGGAATTAAATTTATTGTAATTTTGTTTAGAATGTTTGTATTTATGTTCGTCAGGGATATCAGTCTGTAGTGTGCTTCTAAGGTCTTTGTCTGGTTTTGGTATCAGAATGTGATGCTGGCCTCAAAGCATAAGGCTTATCGATTTTGTTCCTTTTCTCAAAAAGACAGCTTTTGGTGTCTTTGATTTCTCAGTTTCTGTCTTTTCTATTCCATTAGCCCTTGCTGTGATTTATACCCTGGACGTGTTTTTCTGGTGACTATGAGTTTGACTCACTCTTTTCTGGTTTTGTAAGATGGGTGCTGAGGCTGGTTTCTTCCCTGGCTCTGTGCTCAGTGCTGCACGTCTCCCTTTCAGCGTAGCTTCGGCGACATCCCACTCCTTTGCACGGCTTATGTTTTCACTTTCATCTTGAAAGGCTTTCGAATTTCTCTTTTGGTTTCTCATGGTTTATTTAGAATGTGTGCTGTTGAGTTTTCCGATAGTTGGGGATTTTTTGTTTGGAGACAGAATTTACTCTGTCATCCGGGATGGAGTGCAGTGGTATGATCCTGGCTTACCACAGCCTTGAGTTCCTGGGCTCAGGCAGTTGTCCTCCTCAGCCTCCCAAGTAGCTGGGATTATAGGCACGCATCACCACACCTGACTAGTTTTTCTATTTTTTTGTAGTGACAGGGTCTTGCTTGGCTGCCCAGGCTAGTCTTGAATTCCTGGCCTTAAGCAATCCTCCCAACCTTGGCCTCCCAAAGTGTTGGGGTTACAGGCGTGAGCCGTTGTGCTTGGCCATTTGGGGATTTTATCAGATTGCTTTCTGTTATTGATTTTTAATTTTATCCCATTGTGGTCAGAAAACATGCTGGCTTTCTGGAGACTTGTCCTATGACCTTGCATATGGTCTCTAAGTGTTCTCTAAGTGTCTGTGTGGCTTGAGCAGGACATGGGTCTGCTGTGATTGGTGGTGTTCGGTAACAGTCAGTTGGGCCAAGTTTGTTGATAGTGTAGATCAGCCCTCCTGTGCTCTTCCTTTTCTACTTGTACTATCAGTTATGTAGAGAGGGGTTTTGAAATCTATGATTACAATTGCGGAATTGTGTATTTCACTAGTAGTTTCATCCATGTTTGATTCTTATATTTTGAAGCTTTTATTGTCTTCTCCTTTTTTTTATTTTGGAGTTGAAGTCTCATACACTGCCAGGCTGGAGTGCAGTGGCGTGATCATGGTCACTGCAGCCCCGACCTGCTGGGCTCAGACCATCCCTCTGCTTCAGCCTTCCAAGTAGCTGGAACCACAAGTGTGTTCCACCACGCCCAGCTAATTTTTTGATTTGTGGTGGAGATGAGGTCTTGCCAGGTTGCTCAGGCTGAGCTGCCAGGCTCAGGCAGTCCTCTGCCTCCGCCTCCCAGAGTGCTGGGATTACAGGCGTGAGCTTGTAATGCTTGTATGCTTGGAGGTATTATCTTCTTTATCATCATGGAATGACATTTTGCATTCCTTGTAATAGTCTTTGTTCTGTAATCTATTTTGATGTTAAAGTAGCCGTCTCCATTTTTAAAATAATTCAAATTTTGCAGAGTATACCTTTTCTGCCCCTTTAAATCTGTGTTTCTCATTTTGTTTAATATTGTCTATTGTAGGTATACTGTTTATTGTATTGCTTTTAAAAAATCACTCTGACCATCCCTGCCTTTCTGTTAGGGTTTTAGACCATGTCCATGCTTATTGGCATTTTAAAATTTCTTTTTTGGGTAAATTGCCTGTTTGTGTCATGTTTTCCTTTTTCAGTTAGGTTTCTGCTCTTTTTGCTGTTGTTGATTAAAGCAGTTACTTATCTCTAGTGATTAATTCCTTGTCAGTTTTGGAAATTGCAGTTGTATGATTATCCATTGCTTAACCCTGCTTATGCAAGTTTCTTGCAGAACACATGTATAATTCTGATGTAATCAGATTTTTCTTGTTATGATTTATGCTTCTGATGTTCTATGAATTTTTCCTGTTTCTATTCCACAGATCTATTCTTCTACATTTTCCTTTGTTAACTTGAGGTTTCCAGACCATTTGGGACAGTGTTGCCCAAACTTGAGTGTGCTGAGGGCTCACCAGGGTCTTGTATACATGATCTCCTGTATGCGTGATCGCTAGCTACAGGGTTCAGTCTTGGTGGACGGAGGGGCCAGCCAGGAATTGCCTTTCAGGGCAGCTTGCAGCTTCTGCCCTGGTTTGTGCAGCTGGTCCTTGTACCCTGTTTTGACGAGCAGGCGTCCAGAGTCACCTTTGCCAGTGGTGTTGGGTAGGGGCCCCTCTACAGTTTTCTCTGTTTCAGTGAGCCTGTTTTCTCTTTTCCTTTACTATTCTTTTTTGCAATTTACTTTGTTATTTGTGAAAATTTATTCTTGCGTAGATACTTTAGATTAAGCTCATGGCATTCTTCAGTACTGGAATTTTGGAATTCCAAAATAACTGGAATTTTAGAATTTTGGAATTTTTCCAAAATAACTGGAATTTTCCAATAACTGGAATTTTGACTGAAATACCATTGAATTTATAGACTTAATTTGAGGGGACTTGATAGCTTTGTAATGTTGTCATCCTTTTTAAGAGCATGAAATGCCATCTATTTAAACAATTTTTTCTTGACACAGGCTTTAAGTAATCTTGACTAATTTTTCATCCTTTGTAATTTTTTTGCTTTGCTTTTTTTTTTTGCTTTTATGAATGGGATCTTATTTTTTTCTCTTACATTTTCTAGTTAATGTTGGTGTAGAAAACTGTAACTCGCTTTCAAATTCAGCAGTCTTACTGCATTCTTGTGTTTTAATTGCTAATTGATTCTACTTTTCAAGTGTAAAGTACAGGTGAGACAGTTGGCCCTTTCTTTTCCAGCCCCTGCCCCCCCTCTGTTTCCCTATTAGTGTCATCCAGCACCTCTTTTTTATGTTAAATACCAGTATTGTTAATGGATGTCCTTGTGTTAGTTCTGGTCTTGTATGCAGTTGTTTAACATTTTTGAATAAGTATACATTTGTTGCAGAATTTGGTATATAGCCTTCTCCAAGGAAAGAATGTTTCCATCTGTTCTGTTTTGCTAAGGTTTTTAAAACGAAATTATTAATAACTGTTCATGTATTCAGAAAGCATTTAGGGCACACATTATGTGCCAGGCCCTGTGTATGTGCTCATGGTACAGTCATGAACAAAGTGTCTGCTCTGGTAGAACTTACATCCCAGGGGCCGAAGAGCAGATACCAGTATGATAAATAATGAAGTCTGTAGCATGTGAGGTGATAAATACTATGCAAAATAGAGCTGAATAAGGGGACGCTGGGTGCGAGAGTCTTGGGCTTGACTACAGCTCTTTCTGCATCCAGTGATGGGATCACAAGCTTCCTGTTTCAGCCTGTCAGCAAGGCTGAGTGTGCTTGTCAGTCTTCTGATGTGAAATGTGTCTTATTCATGTCTGTTCTGGATGGGGTCTGCTAGAGTTGTTGTCAGAGCCTGAGCTGTAGGGAGCGGGGAGCAGACTGTGGGTGTGTTCAGAGTTCGGCCCTTTTTTTGACTCGTTTTCTCTGTTCTTGTGAGACTACTTCTGAAGTTGGTTTTCTACATATGATGCTCATTTTTTCTTATAGTGATGACTTTCCAAACTTCACTGATTAATTTTCAACGTTAGTGTTTAAGAAAGTTTTATATTTAACCTGTTGAAACTTAAATGTTGGCTTTTATATAGAATAAAAGGATTTTCTGTAGACAGTGAAAGGACAGACTGAGAGTGGGAAGCCATTTTTCATCTTGTTTTTAAACCCTGACACAATGATGAGAAAGTAGAAGCTATGCTTTTGGAGAAATGCACACTTTAGAAAAAATTAACTTTGCCAGACTTCCTGGTGCCAAGTATCAGAGGTATCTCATAGTGGCAATCAAGCTTGCCTAGAGTAAAGGGTATTTACAAGGCCTAAGACAAGGATTGTAAAAGTCGTGAAACTTGTAATTACAAAAGTTATGACCGCTCAGATGGGGAGCAGGTGGGGATTCGATCTTCCAGTAAATTGGGCGTTATCTACAGGGAAGCCAAGGACCCCTTGAAGCTGCCCACTGAGAATGCCTAGGAGATAAGGGGAGATACACCCTCCATTAGGTCTAAGGAATGTCTAAAGCAGGAGCTTTAGGACCCTTGTCACACCCTTCTCTAGGGCCTATGATTATGTGGGCAAACATTAATGGGTCTGTGTGTCACAGGATCTCCAAGACATCCACAGGTGGTCAATAAGGAAGTCACGGCAGTCACGTCTACCTGACTGCAACATCTCCAAGGAAAAGGAATTAAGCCAGGGCTTTGGGGGGGCTATGCCGCCACACTCACCTAGAGCGTAGGCCTGCTTCCTGTCTGTGGGGGGTGAACTTTTCTTAAATAAATCTTTTCTTCTCCCACCTCTTTGTGTTGCAATTCTTTGCAAGTACTCAGATCTCCCCTTCCCTCCCCACCTTTCCATCACACAACCTCACCCTTTCCATACCCTAACAGACAGTTTCATATAAGCTAGTGAAATTGTGTTGGTGGTAGCATCACAGGAGGGTGGTGGCCACAGCCAGTGATGTTCCTTTCTCTGTTCACAGCGACATCTATGGCTGCCGATGAAGGCTCCGCTGAGAAGCAGGCGGGAGAGGCCCACATGGCTGCAAGTGGTGAGACCAATGGGTCTTGTGAGAAGAGCGATGCCAGCTGTCATCCAAATGCAGCAAAGCACACTCAGGAGAGCACAAGAGTCAGCCCGCAGGAAGGCACCAATAAACTAGCTCGGATAGCAGAAAATGGAATTTCAGAAAGAGAGCCAGAAGTGGGGAAGCAGAACCATGTCACAGCTGACGACTTCGTGCAGACTTCTGTCATTGGCAGCAATGGCTTCTTCTTGAGTAAACCCGCCCTGCAGACACAGCCCTTGAGGACTACCAGCACTCTGGCCTCTTCGCTTCCTGGCCACGCTGCAAAAACCCTTCCTGGAGGGGCTGGTAAAGGCAGGACTCCAAGCGCTTTTCCTCAGACGCCAGCGGCAGCACCGGTGGTGCTCGGGGAAGGGAGTGCTGACACAGAGGACAGGAAGCCCCTGGCTCCCGGCACTGATGTCAAGGTTCACAGGGCACGCAAGACCATGCCGAAATCCATCATGGGCCTGGTAATTTTGTGTCTCCTCTTGCTGTGTTCTTGATTCCCTTTTGTTTGAATGATGGCAAGTGGACTTCTGTGCATGAAAGAAAAAGGCCAGCGAAGTCTGTGGTCATCCGCTAGGTGGCTACCTCGGGACCTGTGAAGAGTTAGGAGATGCTGCTGGTGTCTCAGGCATGAGAGACAAAGCCACGCGGCTCTTCTCCAGCCCCTGTGGGCTGGCTTTGCTCATCCTGCAGGGTTCTGTTGCCCCCCTGCCCTGTGCTGGATGTGTCGGATGCCTCTGAGGAGGCCACCTCCTCCCCTGCTTTCCCTCCAGCTGGAGAAGGCTCAGCACTCACCCTGTTCCACTGGGATGTGAACAGAGATGGAGTTGGTTAGGGCCGCCATGCCACAGAGGTGAGGGGACTGAGGACTGCACTGAGGCATGCCTGGGTCTCTCTCCTAACCCTGAGCACTAGGCTCAATCCCACCTTGAGAGAGCCGGCCAAGCTGGCATCCTAAGCAGTTCACACAGCTTGTGCACAACTATAGAGATCCTGCTGCCTTAGTCTCCTGAGTGGCTGGGACTACAGGTGTGCACCGCTATTCCCAGCTAATTTTTTGATTTTTTTTTTTTTTGGTAGAGATGGGTTCTCACTGCATTGCCCAGGCTGGTCTCAAGCTCCTGGACTCAAGCAATCCTCTTGTCTTGGTCTCCTAAAGTGCTGAGATTAAGATGTGAGCCAGCACGTCCGACCTCGTCGCTATATCTTAAGTGGCATGTGCACTGCCATTATTTTGCCTTCCCAGTTTGATGTTAATTGGGGTATGAATTCTAGGTTATGATCGTACTTCCTTGGAATTTTGTCTGCTGACATTACTGATGAGCTTTCCAAGCCATATTCTTGTGCTCTGTATGTAGATCATCTGCTGTTTTCTCTCAGTGACCTTTTAGGGCTTTGCATACGGAACTTTCTTCCCACAGCCCTGTCAACCTGAGGATCTGTGTTTTCAGCTCCAGGAAAATGCTTTGTATGATTTTTTTCTTTGTTGTCTTCCCACCAGAACTCCTTTTAGGTGGTTGAATCCTCTGTCTCCTTGGACGGTTCCTTACCTGTTTTCCAGTTTCCTGATTTGCTCTGTGGCCCTTCCCATTCTTGCTGTTCATTCTATATATTGATGCATTTTATTTGGATGCTTTTTTTCATGCCGAGCATCTCTGATTAGCTCTCTTAATTAAAAATACAAAGCTGTTCTGAATTCTCTTTATCAGGCATTCTGTTTGAACTTGGCACCTCTTGTTCGTGGTGATATTTCTTTTTCCTTTCAATTCTTCTCCAAGGGTGTGCTCATCTCTGTTCTGTGGTGCAGTCTTGATCTGACCGAGCACTACCTGCTTCCTGGCTGTTGCAGTGACTCTTTGAAGGTGGTGGAGGCGCTGTGGGTCTGGGATGCTGACCACTGACCCTGGAGCTTGGGACTCTCCTCTCCCTGGGGTCCGTACAGCTGCTGGGTGTTCTGTTCTTGTCCAAGGCAGCCAGGACAGGCACCTCCTGCTGCCGACACCACCCTGGCCTGGGCCCTCCCCACTCCTAGCTTGGCCAGCCTTTTGTGGAACCCTTCTGTACATGTAAGAACTTTAAAAAGCCCTAAGATAATTATAGATTCACTGGAAGCTGCAAAAATAGCACAGTGAGATCCATGTACCCTTCTTTGAGTTCCCCTCAGTGGCGATGTCTTTCATAACTAAAGGACAGTGTCACAGCTGGGTCACTGATGTTGGCATAGTCCACAGATCTTACCCAGCTTCACCGTAACGTTGACGTGCATGTGCGTGGAGTTCTCTGCAGTTGGATCCCGTGTGTGGATGTGTGTAACTGCCACTGCAGTCAAGATGCAGGCACCCATTAGACCAGGTTCCGAGTGTCACCCTGTGTTGCCACCCAGTGTGTCCCACATCTGTTCCTGGCTATGCCGAGTCCTTGATGTTCCATGGTGTAGATAGACTACACTTCAGCACTTGCCTGTTGAAGGATACTCGGTGTTTTTACAACGAACTATTTTTCATAGTTGCCCTGAACTTCATTTATTTATTTATTTTTCAATTTTCAAAAGTAGGGTTCATTGAGAGGACAGAAAAGCTCCCTGAATGGGAGGGGACCCGAGGAGGTTGCCCTGCTCTGGACTTAAAGTCACATTTTGGACATAAGGTCTCATCTCTGTGGGCTAGTTGCTACAGATATGGCAGAAGTGTAATTGCTGGTTTGTGTAGTGATGGTATGTTTAGTTGCCCAGGCTGGTCTCGGACTCCTGGGCTAAGTGTTCCTCCCAACTCAGCTTCCCAAAGTGCTGGGGCTCTTTTACTTTTACAAGAACCTACTAAGCCATAATCCAAAGTGCCTGCTGCATTTTACATTCCCACCAGCAGTGTGTGAATGACCTGGTTTCTTGTGTCCTTGTTGGTGTTTGGTGCTGACAGTTTTTATTTGAGCATTCTGAATGTGGGCATGGGGTACCTCCTTGTGGTTGCAGCATGAGTTTCCCTGGTGACTGCTGCTGTGGAGTGCCTTTGCACACACGCTTTGCCTTCTGTGTGGCATCTCCCGTGACGTGTCTTTCATGCTCACTTTGTTCCTAGTTATCTTGTTAGCTTTGAGAGTTCTGCTTCTGAGTCCTTTGTCAGATAGATGGGTTGCAAATATTTTCTCCTAGTCTGAAACCTATCTTTCAGGGTCTTTCACAGAGCGAAAGTTTTGCATTTTTGATGAGCCCAGTTTATCTCTTTTATGGATTGTGCTCCTGGTGTCTGAAAACTCTTCACCTAGCCCCAGATCTCCATTTCTCTAATTTTTTTTCCCTAGAAAATTTTCAGCTTTGTGTTAACTTTAAATCTTTGATCCATTTTGAGTTAATTTTTGTATTAGGTCTGAGGTTTGGGCTGAGGGTTTTTGGGGGGGTATAGATGGATTTTTCACTTTTAAAATGCACATCAGAAATCTTACATCATTCCTTTATGTCCTTGAAGTGATGTTTTTATTGCATACTGCTTCCAGGACTTTATTCTGAGTTTTTATTGTTGCGCTGTCATTCCTCTAGGGAAAAGAGCAATTTGAAATTTATTATTTAAAAAAATGTCTTTGACCACAAGCCTTATCTAAGTGATAGCTTTGTTCTGGATTGAGTTATTACAGTAATTCTTAATATACAACTGATGACAACACATGCCATTTGGTGATAATCACAGCGCATTCCCAGACTGGTCAGTTGAAGGAAAGGAGAGCCTGAACCTCTTGAGGTTTTGGAACCAGGTTTTCTGAAGATCACCCACACCCCCCGCACCTGGCAAACCTTCATCTGCTCCTGGGTCTTCCCAGGAAGCAGGTGATAGACTGAACCAGGATGCAGCCATCCTGTGGCCTGAGGCCTGAGGCCTGAGGAAGCCATGGATGGGTAGCTGGGTACCCACCTTGCTCTGAGGAGCGGCTCAGTGCCTATGGCTGGCACCCAGCCTCACTTCACCTTGGGATTTCCTGCCCTCCACACTCAGTTTAGTCTTGTTTGGGATTTTTTTAAAAAACCACAATTTACTGACAATCGTGTTTTAAAAGCAATCGTTCCAGTGGCAAAATGAGTGTTTCAGGCTTTTGACAGTAAATCTAGTTTTTCGTAAAAGTTTAAAAAGGAAAGTGTTTTTCATGGCAGCAGTGTCTCTTCATCCCTTGGCCAGCGTAGAGGTTTATGGGTCCTTGTGTGCAGCAGCAGTCCCCACACAGAGTGTCCACACCGACCTAGAGTCCTCAGGGCTGTCTCGCTGTTGCTAAGCGAAAGCCACTGGAAGGGAGCCTTTACCCGGATACTCCTTGCAGTGGCCTGTGCTGGAGGCTGTCTCCCTCACTGACTGTGGGTCAAGGGGCCTCGTAGCTCTCTTGTGTCTGCTTTTCCACTCCCAGCTCCTCCCTCCATGCCCACTGCAGGGCTCTAGGTGCTGGGAGAAAGGTGGGCCCTGTTAGTCTGCACAGGCGTACATTTTTAGTGGTGGTGTGTCAAGTGCTCACGCAGTGACCCGGCCCAGATGGAGGAGTCCCAGGGAGGGGAGGGTTCCCAGGCAGGACTGTGAGGACAGGACCGGCCACTCTGTCTCATGCCTGGGTCTTTGGCCATCTTTGTGCTTTGTTAAATAGCCGTCCCAGCCATGTCTAGAGACCTCACCCAGGTCCAGCAGTTCTGAACCTTATTGTTGAGGTGTTTGGAAATAACTTTTACAGGAGAGCATGGGTTTTATACCTAAGCAAGAGTTAGCCTCCTGTGGTTCTTTCTTCTTCAGGTTTTACCATTGCTCCTCATTGAGGGGTACTTTAAAGCCATTTTGCATTTATTTACAAGCCTTAGTTGAGGCCAGCAGCCATATGAGTTGAGCAGCCCGCTTGGTGGTTTGTAGGTGGTGTAAAAGGGACGCTTTGTTTCCGAGACAGTGACTTCATTGGAGCCGCAACTGGTATATTGAAGAAAGACTGGAAAATGTTTCAAAGCAGATGTGATGCTTTCAGGTGGCACGCTCTGTGTGCAGAAGGTAGATGCTAGTGGGCAGCATAGAAGCAGCTGTTGCATTTGAGTGGTGCTTTGGAGAAGGGAAGAGAGTGTTTATCCTTGGGGAAAAGAAGGGCATTGCAGGAGTAGAGGCACACTAGGAGGCCGTGCAGACGTCTACTTCCATATGGCCGGTGGGCTTGGATGAGCTGGGCAGGTTTCCATAGGGAGAAGCAGTGGAGAACTCCACAGAGCTGTGGTCACCAGAGCTGAATCCAGGGTCAATTCCCTAGTAGAACTGTCAGCAGGTCCTGGTTATTTGTTTTGTCTGATCTCGACATCAGTGAGGTGTCTGGTGGCTTCAGTGTGGGCTGGTAAGAAGCTTTGCAGGTGTCACAAGCAAAGTGAGACAGAGGGGGAGGGGCACAGAGGGAAAGAGCATGTGACAGGGTGAGATTTAGTGTGCAGGGACAAAGGGAGGGAAAAAGCAAGAGAGAGAGAGAGACAGAGACAGACAGAGACACACAGGGACAGAGAGAGACAGACAGAGTGTGCAGGGAAGACAGAGAGGGAGGGAGAAAGCAGAGAGAGAGACAGAGACAAGGAGGGAGAAAATGAGACCAGGAGAGGGAGGGGGCAGATAGAGACAGAGGGAGGGAGAGAGAGAGAACGAGAGAACCCATGTAAGACTGAGGGGGGAGAGAGAGTGAGACAGGGAGGGAGAAAGGGGGCTGGGGCTGGGGGGAGGAGGAAGGGCCTGAGGGAGGCAGAGAGAGGGAGAAAGCTCGAGAGAGCGAGGGGGCGGGGGAGAGCGTGCGTGAGCAAAGGCAGGCAGACAGAGTGCCCATGTAAGACAGGGAGAGAGAGAGACAGACAGCCAGTAGGCATATGAGACATAGAGGGAGAGAGAAAGTGAGTAGCAGCGAGGGCGACAGAGTGCGCCTACAAGAGGGAGTGAAAGAGGAGGACAGCAAGCGCCTTGCCGGAGAGGGAGAGAGACCGGGCTGCCCCTGTAAGGGCGCGAGGAATGAGGATCGGGCCAGAGACACGGCGAGGGCGGGCGCGTGGGCCCCGGTGAGGTCCACCACCGTGAGGTCCACCGGTGTGAGAGAGCCTGCTCCCCGCCTCTTGCCCTGGGACCTCCCTGTCTCCCCTCCTCACAGGTGATGTCCTGTTCTCTGCACGGTGCTCCTGCTCTCTCCAGAGGGCCCCTCATTGCCCCCTCACCTGTGACCTCCACCGGTGCCTCCTGGTCCCTCAGAGCCACCTCTGTTTGGAGCCCAGTGTTCACCCATCTCATGGGCCGGTCTGGCGCTTTGAATTACAGTTATTCATGGCCTTGTCACTGCTCCCTGGTTGTGTGTGTGTGCTGAAGACATGGTATTTGCCATTTAACCATTTCAAAGTATATAGTTTAGTGGCACTGAGCACGTTCATAGTGTCATGCAGCTGTTATCACTACCCATCTCCAGAAATTTCCACCTTCTCAAACTGACACTCTGGCCCCATCTCCTTCCCAGCCCCGGCAACCCCATTCTACTTTCTGTCTCTACGCATTTGATGTTTCTAGGAACTTCCTGTAAATGGAACCATGCAGGATCTGACCTGGCATAATGTCCTCAAGGTTTATCCTTGTTCTCGCATGTGTCAGAATCTCCTTCTTTCTTAAGGCTGAATAGTAGTCCACTCCGTGTATACGACATTTTGCTTGTTCATTCATCTGTCAATGGACGCATGGGCGGTTTCCCCATTTTGGCTCTTGTGAATGATGCTGCTGTGAACTTGGGTGTGCAGATACCTCTTTGAGTCCTTGATTTGAATTTTTTTGGGTATGTAGCCCATAGTGCAATTGTTGGATCATAGGATAATCCTATGTTTAATTTCTTGGGAGCTGCTATACAGTTTTCCACAGTGGCTGTGCCATCTCACATTCCCGCCAACAGTGTACAAGGGCTCCAGTTTCTCCACATCCTTGCAACACTAGTTATTTTCTGGTTTCTGGATAGTAATCATCCTAATCTGTAGTGAAGTGGTATCTCACTGTGGTTTTGATTTGCATTTGCCACAATGACTGGTAATGTTCAGAATCATTTTATGTGCTCATTGGCCATCTGTATGTCTTTTTGAAGAAATGTCTGTTCTAGTCCTTTGCCTTTTTTTTTGAGTTGGAGTCTCACTCTGTCATCCATACTGGAGTGCAGTGGCCGCTCCCAGCCACCGCAGCCTCGACCTGCTGGGCTCCAGCGATCCTTCCGCCTTAACCTTCCAAGGAGCTGGAACTACAGGCACGCGCTACCACGCCTGACTGCTTTTTGATTTATTGTAGAGATGAGGTCTCGCCAAGTTGCCCAGGCGGGTCTTGAACCCGCGGGCTCAGGCAATCCACTCACCTCAGCCTCCCAAAGGCGCAGGATTACAGGCTGAGCCACCGAGCCCGGCCCTTTGCCTATTTTTAAGTCAGACTGTGTTTTGTTGATGGGTTGTAGGGCTCTTTCATATATTCTGGATGGTGATTCCTTATCAGATACAGGACTTGTAGAGATCTTCTTCCATTCCTTAGGATGCCTTTCACTCTATTGATCGTATCCTTTGATGCACAGACATTTTAATTTTGATGAGGTACCATTTGATGAGGTACTATTATTTCCTTTGTTGCCTGCATTTTTGGTTTCATATCCAAGAAATCATTACCAAATCCAGTGTTGTGAAGCTTTCCCCCTATGTTTTTTTTCTAAGAGTTTTGTAGTTTTATTAGGCCTTACGTTTAGGTCTTTGATCTGTCTTGGGTTAATTTTTGCATATGGTGTTAGGTAGGAGTCTACCTTTTTTCTTTTTTTTTTTTTTTTGAATGTGGAAGAATGCCTTGTCTTTTAACACTTTCACCATTTATTGCATCCACTGTGTGCATGAAAAAAAATCTCACTAAGTTGAATCGGATGTGACTAAACCGTGGCAAGCCTGTAGGTGACTCTAGGGAGCAACAGAGAGTGGGAGGTTTAGTTGTGTCTGCGCAGTCTGTGATGAAGGCAGGGGCGTGAATAAGTGCTGGAGATTTGCTGTCAGTATCACAGCCTTACCCTACAGGCTGAGATGAAAGACACATTGAGGAGATCAGTGAGACCGTGAGTAAAAACCCATTAAAAAATATAGTGTCATTATCTGGTGGAATATATGCCATCTGGAGAATGTTGCAAACTGTAGCCATGATAAACAGTGAAAACACTTTCTGAGAGGTTTTGATGCTATCCATTTTTGGTGTTTTTTAGCTTAGTAATTGTTATTACCTAAGTTGGGTTGGCACACTTTTTCTGCAAAGAACCACATGGAAAATAATTCAGGTTTTTTGGGCAACATGCGGTCGCTGCCACTGCCACCTCTTCCTCCCTCCTTTCCTCCCTCTTCTTTCTCCTACTCTTCCTTCCTCCTTCCCTCCACCTCCTCCTGTCCTTCTCCCTCTCTTCTCTCTTCCTTCCTTCTCCTCTGCCTTCTTACCTTTAGACCTCTAAACACTGTCCTTTGCTTGGGCCATGGTTGACAGATGCCGACTGAAATCATCTTAGGGTAATTGGGCACATGTCTTAGTGCAGGTGCTTCTGTGGGGATGGCCATGCTGTTTCGATTTGCAAACATTCTCCTCTCCCATAATGTCTCATCCTTCAGCAATGGGGAGTTAATGGGGAAAGAACTGCTTTGGGTGTGTGTTGTTTCAGTGACTGTCTGCTCATGCACAATGACAGTCATTGCTTATCTTTGTTCCTAAGCACACGGCCAGCAAAGACCCCAGAGAGGTTCGAGGAGCTAGAGATCGTAAGGAACCGAAAGACGAGACCGACAAAGACATCTCCGACTTCGGACGGCAGCAGCTTTCACCCCCCTTCCCGTCCCTTCACCAGTCGCTACCTCAGAGCCAGTGCTACGTGGCCACCACAAAATCACAGACAGGTAAAGGGAGTTGCAGCAATGGTCTTTACTCTCTGAATGTCTGTTTCGAGCCCGCCCCTTGCCAGTGGGAGGTGTGTGTGGCTGCATGTGCCTGTGCTGCTCTAGATGAGTGACTGTCGAGGTTGGATGCCCTGCTGTGCTCACTGGTATCCCTGAGGAGGCACACCTGGCCTTGTTTGAAAGACCTCGTCTGATACCTGCGTGGGTTTCCTGGCTTGTTTGTGCACGTGCACTTCAGGGTGAGGGGTGCTTCAGGATGCCCTGGCCTTCCCCTCGGCAGCCTCTGGGATGGGTGTGTCTGGTACCCTCATAAAGAGATGGGGTGAATCCCTGTGGCACAGACCAGTTTTGATTGTGAGTTGGGCAGGGGTCTTCCTGTGAGGCCTTGGTGGATGTCGAAGAAGGGCTTGCAGACACATGCTGAGGATGCAGGTCAGGGTCAGCCAGGTGTTGAAAGGCTTCACTTGGGAGGATCACCTGGCCCCAGGTGCATGTCTTTTCTTGAACTTTTAAAATACTTCTTATTTTGAAGTAATTTCAGACTTCCAGCAAAGCTGCAAAAGTCTGACGTGAGTTTCACTTATTTTACCATATGGCACAATTATGCACCCCCCCATAGCTTTTTTTCCTAGAGTAGTCTTAAGTTGCAAGTTTGTAGACATTGTACCTTTTTGTCACTAAATGCTTTAATGATATTTCCTAAAAATAACTGTAATGTCCCTAAAAATAAAGACATTCTCTTAGATAGCTTCAGTGCAGGTTTTAAAATGAGGAATCCACCTTTGCTGTGATACCGTTGTCTGATCTTAGTACCTGGTTCAACTTTTCCAGTTACCCTGTCCTTCAGAGTCAAAGAAAAGTAAGGTCTGATCCTGGATCCCAGCATCACCTGACTGTGTCTCTTGCTACTCTCCTTGAATCTGAAACGTTCTCTGCCTTCTCTGTCTGTCTTTACCTTGGCTTTTTTTTTTTTTTTGAGTTAGAGTCTCACTCTGTCGCCCAGACTGGAGTGCAGTGGCTGCTCCCGGCCACCGCAGCCTCGACCTGCTGGGCTCCGGCGATCCTTCCACCTCAGCCTTCCAAGTAGCTGGAAGTACAGGCGCGTGCTGCCACGCCTGGCTAATTTTTTGATTTATTGTAGAGATGAGGTCTTGCCAAGTTGCCCAGGCGGGTCTCGAACCCGCGGGCTCAGGTAATCCACTCACCTTAGCCTCCCAAGGTGCAGGATTACAGACTGAGCCACCGAGCCTGGCTTACCTTGGCATTTGAGGAGTGCAGGCATGTGTTTATAGAAGGGGCCTTGGCATGAGTTTGCCCAGTGTTTTCTAGGATCGGCATAGGCGACTGCCTGCCTTGTGTCCTTGTGAGCTGCGTTTTGGTGGCCTCGTGTGCTCTTTGGCCTGTGGAGTCTGTAGGTCCCTCCGTTGTAGCCACTGCTCCCCACATTGCAGCAGCATGTCTTAGACACCCTGAGGCTCTGCAGGTGCCTCTCATCACATCCTGGTGGGGCTTCAGCAGCTGCCAGGACTGCCTGTGGGCACCAAATGATGGCTTGCGACTTCAGCCCTCTCCGCTGATGACCTCCGTTTCTGCTCTGAAGAGGTGCTTCACCCTCCATCCGTTCCCCCAGCTGTCTGTCTGTCTGTTCTTGAGTAGTGACTTGTGGACTCTAAGTTTGAGTCTCTGGGCTACAATCCATTACCATCATTATTTTGTTGCTCAGATTGCCTCAAGTTTGACCAGTAGGTCCCTTCAGGCTGCTCCTCAGTTCCGGGAGGTGACCTGATCTCTTCCTGAAGGCCGTCAGGCTTGACTGGGTGGTCCAGCTCCTCCTGTTCTGTCCCCTCCCAGTCCTGGAATTGACTGTTTCTCCAGGGACCCCTGGCTCTTTTAATCGGAAGTTAGAAAACAAGATCAGTTGTCACCTATCCCTGCCCCTTAACTCAATTTTATCGCTCTTTGACTCAGTTTTTTTTCCATACCTTTTCTTCAAAATTGTGACTCTGTGAATTTTATTTGTTTCAAAGAGTTAAACTTGGTATTTTGCAAAGCAATGGAGTTACACTCCTGGAAGGACTGGGAAGGAATGTCAGAAGTCACTGTGTGTTAAAATGTTAAGATGCCCCCTGTTTTAGTTCTCTTATTTCATCATCTTTTAACAAGAACTTTCTAAAACAAAGTACTGACTGTCTATAGCAACTACCAGCTTCTGCAAACTTCCTTTCTCTGCCTGCCTTTTCATAGCCAGAAGCTAGAAGTAGGTGCTTTACCAGTGTGTGAGTCCAGGATAGTGCGAAGGTGGCCTCAAGCCCTGGAGAGAGCGTGCTCAGCAGTCAGTGACCCGCACTGGTCCTGTGGGGAGAGATGCGCCCTTAGCCCGGCTGCTCCTCTGTGTTGGCCCTTCGAGGCTTGCTCCACCTTCTGGGACAGGCAAAGGAGCTGCAATGTCTATGCCTGAGTGCTTGTTTCCTGAAAGGAGCATGCTGCATGGCTGTCTTGTCTGTGCCACTTGTCAGTGCACCTTTTGGAATTGCTGTGAGTGCAGGTGTGTGCGTAGAGGCATCTCCTGGTTGCGTCCTGGGTGGGCGCAGAGTTCACTTGTCAGTATGGCTGGATCAGGAATGGGACCAGCTCTGTCCTATTTTATTTCTTCAGATCTCACTCCTTCCCCTGTTGCTCAGCGTTGCTTCCCTGTGGGAGGATACTGGAGCTAGTCACCAAAGAGTTGTCTTAGAAAGGCTGAGATGTCATGTCTTCTCTTTTTATTAATTTTTAAATTACTGTAGTGATGATGGCTCTGTTCTTTCCTTTCTGCGACACCAGGAAATTTTTCACAGCAGGAAAGAGGAGCAGGTTCGCATGTTGGTTACAAAGTTGCGTTTTACGGCTGGAGTCATAGCAAAGCCCTGCGTAACTCACTCCTGTGGGCAGCGGTAGCTCTGAGCTTTAGGTCTAGGTGGCCATGGTCTGAAGGACCTGTAGCACACCCTCCACACCTCAGTGTCAGAAGCAAAAGACCCGTGCTGTGCCAGAAGGTTGGGAACGGGCCTTTGTGTGGCAGCCTTAGGCTGGAGAGCCACATTGACTCAGGATCCCGGGCACCCAGCATTTGTCTTTGGGTGGATGTTAGTTCTTTTGAAAAAGTGGATTGGCGCTTTTATCATCAGCTTGTTCTGTATCTTTTTGGAGTGTAGATGTTTGCAATGAATAAAGACAATACCAGAAATCAATTTCAGAAGATTCTGGAAGGTAATGGAGCAGGAAGCATCAGGGATCCATGTCCCCACTTAGACAGCAATCGCACTGGCAGAGACTGTCTGATACGACTATTTTGGAATTCTGGAGTCTGTTGAAGGTTTGCCACTTACAGGAGAGGCTTGGAGAGTTAATTTCAGTCAGTTTCAGCTCCTAGCAGCTGCTCACTTCCTTCCCCAGCCTCTGGTGCTGGGCATGCAGCCTTCCCGGCACAGCTTACACACAGTGTGTGGGAGCCAGGGTGGGCAGAGAGGACCTTGTCCTCCAAATAGCAGGTCTCTGTGCTGTGATGTAGCGGTGTAGACAGAGGGGCCTTCCTGTCATTGTTGCAAGGCCCTCTCCCAGGTGACTTCTAGGAGACCTAAAGGGCTGGTGCCCTTTTTTATCCCTCTTTCACCTGCATTTTTATCTTTTCTTCTTTTGGGAGCCTGACATTAAAGACTTAGGACATTCAGGAACAATTATATATACATGTATGTGTATATATATATACAGGGAAAGTTAGATGGTGACTATGTGTGCCCACGGAAAGGTGTGGCCTCAGAAATGACCTGAAAAAACCTTAAGTTTAAACCTCAGACCACAGAGACAGCTTACAACCATCAGTAAACCAAAAACAATAAACCCAAACAACCATAACAGCAGACCTCAGGAAAAGGGGAGAATCTGCTTTTCAGGGCTTCCATATTATTAGATCCAAATGTCGAGTTTTCAACAAAATATTGCAAGATATATAAAGAAGCAAGAAGATATGGCCCATCCAGTGGGGAAAAAACCAGCAGAAACTGTCCATGAAAAGATCTGATGGTAGATCCACCAGACAAAGACTTTAAAACAACTGTCTTAAATATGCTCAAAATTTAAAGGAAAGTATGGAGAAGGTCAAGAAAATGATGCACGAGCAAAATGGAAATATCAACAAAAAGAAAGAAACCTCAGAAGGAATCAAAATAAATTCTGGAGCTAAGAGTAACAAGAACAGAAATGAAAAATTTACTAGAAGAAGTCAAAAGCAGATCTGAGCAGAGGAGACAGCAGACTTAAAGGTAAGACAGTAGAAATAATCAGACCTGTGAAACAGGAAAAAAGGACTGAAGAAAAGTGAAAGGAGCCTAAGGGACCGGTGGGGACCGTCAAGACGTCCAGACACGCATATGGGAGTCCAGGAATAAGAGCAGGAAGAGAGTGGAGTCTGTGTTGGAAGTTATAAACATCCAGGGAGCTCAACCACCTCCGGGTGAGATGAACTGAAAGAGACCACACTGAGCCACATTATACTCAAACTGTAGAATGACAAAGACAGATAATCTTGAAAGTAGAGAAGAAACTTGTCACATGCAAAAATCCTCAATGAGATTATCCGCAAATTTCTCAACAGAAACTGGAGACCGGAAGGCTACAGACTGGTTTATTCAGAGGGCTAAACAAATAAGCAAAACAAAAACAAAACAAAAAACCTGTCAGTCAAGTATCTATATGCAGCAAAACTGTTCTTCAGGAACAAGTGAGAAATTAAGATATTCCCAAATAAACAAAAGCCAAGGGCATTTGTTACCACCTGCCCTGCCCTGCAGGAAATGCCAAGGGAGTCCAGCAGAAAAGAATAAATCCTAGACAGTGACTTGAAACCATATGAAGCAATAAACATTGCAATAATGGTCAATACACAGGCCATTATGGAGGCTAGTATTTTTGCAACAATGGTTTGTAATTCTACTTTTTGTTTTCTATAAGATTTAAGAGAT